TTCCTAAATGTTTGTTTCTGCTCTTCTCTAAAGACATTTAACACTAATGGTCTTCTTGTAGTCCCAGTTCAATTAGAATTTAAAGCTGGCTTTGGAGTTGGAGAATGGCTCTCTCCTTCTTTAGACCCAAGCATGTTGTTAAAAGGAAAATGCAAACTCCCTGTATCATGCCAGAAGAAAAGAGCCATCTTCTGCTATGGGACAGGAGAAAACAAACAAACAAAAAAAATTTAAGGGACTATTCTATTACTACTAATCTCAATTCTTTGATTCTATTCTGATTCTTTAAACTTTTCTTAAAGTATAAATTTTATATCAAAATTCACAAGATTAATATATATATTAAACTTTGTTAAGATGTTAATGGTCATATAGAGTACTAACTAATTCTAGAAAAAAAGGCTTCAATTAGCTGCCTATATATGTCTTTGTTTCAAGTCTTTATCAGTTTTCTGCAGGAAATCATGGCCAGGCCTAACATCAACTGAAGTCTCCAGGAAGAAGATGGGGCCCCACAACAACAATAATTCCACATGGACAATAATAATAACTCTAAGCTGACAATCATCATTACAGATCAGCTTTGGACTACAAACTGCTCAGAGCAATTTTGAGATGGCTAGCTGAGATGATCCAGTTTCAAAGACTACTTACTTGAGATAAGCCCTGAACTTTGGCATTATGCACAGACTGGACAACAAAGGATATAGCTACCTTTCCTAGAATTTGACAATTAACCCAAAATTTTTCTTTCCAGAATAAAGATGTCTTTGCCCATATCCAGCAGGAAACAATTTTAAGAATACGACGCCCACATTCCCAAAGAGTTGGCGTGGGGCGGGTGGTTTTTTGGTCTTTTAATGAGTTTTGGGATGATTTTCATTGTTTAGGAGGGTTGGTTACAACTTGTTGTTGTTAAGGGTTAGGAAAAGGGCTAAGCAAAGGAAATTAGATTTAAGGTTCTTATTTAAAAAAATGATATATGGAAATGATAGAATAGAGGGTAGATTATTGAATCTACTCTGAAAAGTAAAAAGAAGATATAGATATAATATAGATAAAAAGATAGATTATTGAATCTACTTTTAAAAGACAATTACTAGTTTTAAATACTTTATATTGGATTGGACTTTTGTATATTGTATACAAATTATATATATTGAGATTGATATTGTTAGAAAATGCCATACAAATATTTCTAATCTTATTCAAGATATTGTTCTCATACAATTCATTTAACAACGTAATGCAATTTGCTAATCCTTGAATGTTATTATTACCAACTATTAGGATATAAAGAAATGAAAGTTAGTAGTTAGACATTACACTCGAACTTGTAGTCATATTAGATATGTTTTCAAGATTGAGCAGATATATTTTAGATAGACATGTCATCTTCAAACCCTTCAGAGATCTACAGAATATGGCATTTAAAAAGTTTTAATAACTTAGAAACTTTTTTATGACTATGAGACATGTCAGTTCCTGGCAGTACCAATCTACCTCAGAGAAAATGTGGGCATTGAAGAAACTGCATATGGAATTAACTTTCATTGTGGCAAAAGTTAGCCACTGGACAACAAAGTATCCTCGAATCAACTGCTGACAAACAGAACAAAACAGACAGACAGGACACGAAACAAAGGACTACCGATTCTTGACAAAACAAGTGTGGTTATGGCTTTATCAAAAGACATCTTGTGAGGCCAGGACAATATGGCACCATCCCTGAAGTGGCCTTCACAATCCGGAAAAGGTACAGTGCCTTTTTCTTCTAAGGCAGCTGAACAGGCAGTGGACCGATGGCTTCTGATGTGCAGTGGAACAGTAGCTGAAACAGTTATTCTTGAAAGAGTAACTAAGCTGACAGAGTCTAACCTCTTAATGGTAGACTCACATTTAATAAAAGAGTTAAAGCCACCCACAAGCTGAGAAGAACAGGATGCCCAGATGAAGCCACACGCAAGCCAAGAAGAAAGGACAGCTGAATTAAAAAAAAAACAACATGAGCAATTTCCAGAATTTAAAATCCTGAATCATGACAGGACACTAGTGGAATTCAGTTATTTCTGGTACATGGACTGCTCTTACCAAATGTGAGGTCGAACTGTTGACCTTGTGTACATCCTACTTCACAAATGAGTCTTTCAGATATGCTAAGCCTATAGGCTGAAGATGATGCCCCAACTTGCAGAGAAACCTTGGGTGACTGTCCAGGCAGCTGGCTGTTTCTGTCAACTCACAATTTTTTTGGAAGTCACTTGTTTGCACTTCCTGTTTTTTTTAGGTAATATTATTTCCTTCTTGGGTGTCTGAGGGAGTTGAAGATTAGATAGTTATAGTTATAGTTAGTTGAAAATTCGTAGTTATAGTTATAGTGTTCCTTAAGAATTTTAGAAAAGAAGCTCACTAAAGAGGTGTAAGTGTATAAATTTGAAAGACATTATAAGATAGTTCTGTTAGTAATATAAGTTAGGATAGAAAGTGAATCAGGTACATTTTGAACTTACCAAAATAGGATAGATAATGGAATATTTTTGCTGAATTTGTCAAAAGCAAATGCATTAGACATTGTTTAAGTATTTATTGCCTGTATATATTGTATATAGTTATTGTACTTATTGTATATAGTTTTTCTTATATTAGTTATAACTATTTTCCTTTTTTATTAGAATAGAAAGGGGAAATATGGTGATATTTTATTTGTGCTGAAATGTGATTTTATCTGTATGTTAATAAACAAAGTTGCCTGGGGATCAGAGGTCATAGCCATTAAGCAGAAGTCTGGCAGTGGTAGCACACACCCTTAATCTGATCACATGGCAGGCAGGCAGAGTCTGTGTGTTCAAGGACACAGTCAGCATGGTGACCTGAGCCTTTAATCCAAGTACCAACCATAGAGACTTGGAGGTCTGTATAGACAGGCAGTGATGAGAAAGCCATGTGGTTGGGTTTAGAGCCAATGAGAAGGCAGAAAAGAAAAGCAATAAAAATACAGACACACAGGAAGTAGGTCTCTTTCTCAGGGGAAGGATGGCAGCAGAGTGGTGAGAAGGTGGTCTCAGCTCTTGGCTATTGCTCTCTGATCTCTGAGCTTTTAACTCTGCATTTGACTCTGTGTTTCTTATTTAATAAGACCATTTAGAGTTACATCTACAAGTTAAACTTCCAGAAATTTCATGAACAATCAGGGTTTTCAGTTGGTCTTTTTTAAAATTTTTTTTATTTAATTTTACATATCAGCCACAGATTCCTTTGTCCTCCCCCACCTTCCTTCCTTCCAGCCCACCCCCCATTCCCATCTCCTCCAGGGCAAAGACTCCCCTGGGGATTGAGTTCAACCTGGTAGATTCAGTCCAGGCAGGTCCAGTCCCCTCCTCCCAGGTTGAGCCAAGTGTCCCTGTATAAGTCCCAGGTTCCAAACAGCCAGCTCATGCACTGAGCACAGGACCCGGTCCCACTGCCTGTGTGCCTCCCAAACAGATCAAGCTAATCAACTATCTCACTTATTTAGAGGGCCTGATCCAGTTGGGGGCTCCTCAGCTATTGGTTCATAGTTCATGTGTTTCCATTCATTTGGCTATTTGTCCCTGTGCTTTTTCCAATCTTGGTCTCAACAATTCTTTCTCATACAAACCTCCCTCTTTCTCGCCAATTGGACTCTTGGAGCTCCACTTGGGGCCTGGCCATGGATCTCTGCATCTGGTTCCCTCAGTCATTGGATGAGGTTTCTAGCATGACAATTAGGGTGTTTGGCCATCCTATCACCAGAGTAGGTCAGTTTGGGCTGTCTCTCGACCATTGCCAGTAGTCTATTGTGGGGGTATCTTTGTGGATTTCTGTGGACCTCTCTAGCACTTTGCTTCTTCCTATTCTCATGTGGTCTTCATTTACCATGGTCTCCTATTCCTTGTTCTCCCTCTCTGTTCTTGATCCAACTGGGATCTCCCGCTCCCCTAAGCTCTCTTTCCCTCGACCTTTGCTCTTAAAGAATTGAACCTGATGTCCTTTGATCCAGGGTTACAGACTGGTATGCTACAAATGAGGCATGCATGTGCATCAATGTGCTAAGGACCAGACTGTACTTCTTGATGTCACTCGCTTTGCCACTATAAACATTAGAACTTAAAAACTCTTTGTTATACATCATAGCAAAGACTTTAGTGTTTTTAAGGTGGTTAGTACTGACTTATATTGAGATGATTTAAATTATTGATAGGTCTTGAAAATGGGATTGAATTTAGGGTTCAGGATGTGGCTCAGTGTTAGAGCATTTTGTCCGATGAATATGAAATGTGGCCTGAAGTCCTATCACTAAAACAAGCTTCTACTTCCTTTATATTATAAAAATTCTACTCCTACAAGAGAATCTGTAAGCTTTAATAGGTTAATAAAGATATTACATCCCTCTCTTTATTCTTGCTTTTTCAAGGTGCTCTGACTTAACAGCTTCATTGCTCTAAATACTATCCATATGGATCATATCTAAATTCTCCTTGAAAAACCATTGCATTTTTATTTATGGTTTATAATTTGCATAAAAATTTAGTATAGAGAACAAGAAAATGTACAGAAGTATAAAAATTTACAAAACAAACTCTTAGAATTTGTAGTAACTTCCAGATAAACTTGATTTTTAGAATATAGTTATAATTGAGGTCAGTTTTACTCTGAAAATATTTTTTGACCTGTTTGTAAAATGTCCCCAAATGATACATGTATCTTAAAATTTAAGCCTCCTTATTAACAATTGATGTTATGAGCAATGTGTCAGTAATAGGCATTAAGTTAGTTTGAAGTAAAAAGATCATTCCCAAGGCTTAAATTTGTAGTTTCCTATTACCAATCACTCACGACAACTTTAGAGAATTATCTCTGCCTCCTGGTCTCTAGATGTCATCAGTGTCTATACCGAGAGAGAGAATAAAGGCATAAAATCAACTCAGTGACTCTTAACATAGGTTATATATGTAGTTAATTTTCTACTGCTATAAGACAACATGACCAAGGCAACTTATCAAAGAAAGCATTTGGTTGAGGGCTTGCTTACAGTTTCAGAAGGAAAATCCATGACCAACATGACTGGGATCATGACAGCAGGCAGGTAGGCATGGCACTGGAGCAGCAGCTCAGAGCTTATATCTGATCCAGAACCATGCATATCATTCATTTTTTGAAAAAAATAATAAATATATAAATAAGTATGAAATAATATGTGTTCATTCTTATCAACATTTACTAGGTTAAGTTTGTTGAATCATGTTTCTCTCCTAGTCTAAGCTAAGGCTATAAATTATTTACATTTATTATTGATAGTCCAGTGACTTTGGAGTAGCTGATCATATATAAAGAAATTCCTGTTAAATATTATGTAGTTTCTTATTTTTTTCTGTTCCCATATCCCATAAAATGTAAGGACACAAAAAAGCCATTTTGAAAACAAGTGCACCAAAACACAAAACCCATGAGTCTGAATCAATCAGAGTAACCCTCAATTTTCTTGTCTATAGAAAATCACTGAAGAACAAGAAAAGGAGAAGTGCAATGTTGAAAATGCATCTTTATGGGAAAGGCCTTCTGTGAAAACTGATGAGGTGACAATAGACCAGCAGAATTCACTACAGTACAAACACCTTAAAACATACATCAGAGAAAATGTAAAGGAGATGGTTCATGACCAACTTGAAAATGCTGAACTTATTATTCATCTTAAGGAAGAGCCTGCACCTGATGACTCTAGAAGAGAAATATCCACAAAGGTAATTCCCACCATGTGGAAAAGTACAGTACTTTACTGTAAGATAAGATAGTATCTTCTGAACAGCTTGTCTTTTCAATACTGTGGATTGTTGCAGACAAAAGAAACCTAGCTTGAAAATGTTCTCAATTCTTTCTTATGTTCTTCATCACGTACGTTCACTTTCCAGTCATCTTCTAAGATTTAAGTGAAAATTCATTAGACTGTAAGAGTAATAACCCAGGAAGCTAACATACTTAATATAAATAGAAGAATTTAATACTAATGTAGAATTTTTATGATGATGCGGAAAGTAAACGATATGGTGTTGAGTATGATAACTATGCAGGAGTTAGAGTGGGCCTGAAAGGAATCACATCTTTGATAAGCAAATGATTAGAATATGAATTCCAATAACAATAATCGTAAATAGATATTAGACATGCCAGAGTCTGGCAAACTAAAAGGGCTATAGTTTTCATCCTTCAAAGAATTAAATCATGTGTCTGAAAGAAAAAAGACATCACTTTTCTACTCTTAAACACACTGAAAACTAAACTAACACAAGACTTTCCCAGAAGCCACCTGCTAATAGCAGTATAAATAGTATAAAGCCACAGTCTGAGATAGATAATATCAGTTCTCCACCACATGCTGACAGATTGCCAAATAGAAGTCTTTGTAAAGAGGTATAGTCATACCAAGGTTGTAATGACACAGGTGTGTACATGGATGATACCTGGCTTTGAAAAATGAGAAAGCTCACATGCCAAGTTCATGGTTTTCTCTTTATCATTTTCATTCTGAACCGATAACAAACAAACTCACATACATATATGGGCCAGAAACACAGCTCAGAGGGTCAGAGCACTTGCCTTGCAAGTCTAATGACCTGAATTCCATCCCAGAAAGCACTACAAGTAGCAAGTGTCTGACATGTATAATCCCAGCACCCCTAAATCCATAATGGAGGCTGAGAGCATAGAACAGCTCTGAAACTCACAAGCCAGCCAGACTGGAACACACAGAGTAGCAGAAACAGTGAGAGACCCTGCTTCACCCAGGGAAGGAGAGAGCCAGATCCTGAAAGTTGTTCTCTGGTCTTCACACACAGCAGCAGCATAACACACAAGCACATGAATACACACACATGTATGCCCACCCCCCAGGGAAACATCCCCTCCAACAAGGCCACACCTCCTAATCTTTCCAAAATAGTTCCACCCACTGGGGACCAAGCATTCAAATGTTTGAGTGTATCGGGGCTGTTCTCATTCAAGCCACCACAGTGGTGCTGGAATAGGCCACTGCTCACACATATAACAGTCATGGTTAAGGTGTAAGAGGTCAGAAGGCATCTGCAGAATCCATACTTGCAGCTCAGCAGCTCCCCACTGCTATGGGTAGTGACACACTTTGTTCACGAATGTTCAGGTCACTTTCACTGTTTTGCTATCTCAGGGTCCCAGTGAACAATTGTGAAAGGCCATGGGGAAAGGACTACGTAGTACAGAAGGGAGAGGTTCCTTTCATTCCCGAAGCTCCTCCTTTCACATTCTATTAATCTGGCTGGAATGTAAAATCCAGGTCATAACATTTGGAGAGGACACATTTTGTCCTTTTATTTTTATATCTCCCCATTACACAGAGAATGATGATGTTAGGTAGCAAAGAGCAGAGGAAGAAAGGCATAAATCTGAGAAGGTTCCTTTTGAGGTTTCTGAAAATCCTGGGCCTTTTACTTAAGCAGAAAGGAAGCAGAGGTTACAAGATATCAGCGACTGTAATGATAAAATTAGACTAAACAACAAACATTTGGAGACTAAAATCAAGACTGCGACATTAACAGACAAGTGCTAAAATGAAAATGATTTATGAAAAATCATAAAATTTTTAATGAAAAGTAACATCTCAATATTTTTTAAAGGTTAAAGAAAAGAAGTCAGGGTATCTGTATGTACCCCATTTCAACCCTTTTGAGCACAGAATTGCTGCACTGCGGGCTACTGCACACGTTGAACCAGCTCCTGCTGTCTGCCCTGGTGATGCAGGTGACTTGGGTGACATGGACAAGGCTTTCAAGGCTCAATTGGCCCGTCCAGTTGCTTTGGCTGCCAGCACTGAGCACCAAAGATGGCAACCGCACACTGACCCTGAGCTTGCTCCTGGTCACTGCACTGGTGACACCAGGGACCCTCCTCACAATGCTGACCTGGCTCTTGACAAGCTCAGTATTGATCTAGAATCTGCTCCTCTCCGTGGTCCCAGTGACACTAAGGATCCTGCTAATGACGCTGACCTAGCTTTTCACACAGTAAAAAGAACGATGGCCAGGGTAAGTTAGTCCACAAACAGTAGTTTAAAATAGATGATTTTTGTCCCAGAAAACTAACTTTCTTTGGTTCCTTATACTTATGATTAATAAATTCCATGCTTTATATGGGGCTACATAGACTTTACATGGTACCAGAAGAAAGTGATTTTCCCCCAATTGTATTGAAAGTATATAATATAAAAGAAACAAAGTCAGTTCAGTCCACCAAAACTGACCAAATAATGTTAGCTGATTCATGGTTGTCTCCTGTTCTGGAATGAGAATTATTTTCTCTCCCAGTGATAACCTTGTGTTTTTGGAGTGGCTAAGCATATACAGAGATATCTAACTGTTAAATGCTAGTCAGTGTCTGCCTTTTCTGTGGACATACACTGACTTGTGAGGATAGCATCATCTCTGAAACACTCCAAAACAAGCAGCATAAAACAAAAAAAGGAGCTTCCAATTCACACACCTTATACACAATGATGCTGATGATACTGCATGAGATGATGCCAATAACAACACTGATGCTGCTGCCCATAATCCTCTTGATGATGCAACTAATGTTCCTGATGATACTGCTAGTAATTCTGGCTTTTGCTTTTCTTCCTAGATGGCGCTGCAGTTGATTGACAGTCCTTTGAAGCAGTCAAATTGATATCTATATTAGCAAGAATTTTAAAACATATAGAAATTGAAAAGAAAAATATTCCTCTGAAAGAGGACATTCTATTTATTGAACTCTGTACACAAATTGTTAATAATTTTCAATTAAAATACACTATGCAAAAATTTTAAACTGTTTCTTGGCATTAGATTAACTGACTCTATAATCACTCCATTGTATAGGTAAGGGGAAGGTTTTTATTGTAGGAGAGAGACAGAGAGAGAGAGAGAGAGAGAGAGAGAGAGAGAGAGAGAGAGAGAGAGGAGAAGAGAGGTGGGGAGAGGGAGAGGGGAAGAGTGAGAGAGAGAGAGGAGAGAGAGAGAGAAAGAGGAGAAGAGACATGGGGAGAGGGAGAAGGGAAGAGTGAGAGAGAAGGAGAGAGAGAGAGAGGGAGGGAGGGAGGGAGAGAGTTGGGGGAGGCATAGAGAGGGAGAGGGGAAGAGGGAGAGAGAAGGAGAGAGAGGAAGAGGGGGAGAAGGAGAGAGAGAGGGAGAGTATTGCGCTTTCACAGAACTTGAAAGAACAATACTCAACTTCATATGGAAAAACAAAAAACCAGGATATCCAAAACAATCTTATAAAATAAAGGAACTGTATTGGGATTTTGGTGGGGGTTGCCCTGAATCTGTAGATTGCTTTTGGTAAGATTGCCAGTTTTACTATGTTAATCCTTCCTATCCATGAGCATGGGAGATCTTTCCATTTTCTGATATCTTCTTCAATTTCTTTCTTCAGAGACTTAAAATTCTTGTCATACAGGTCTTTCACCTGCTTAGTTAGAGTTACCACAAGGTGTTTTATACTATTTGTGGTTATTGTAAAGGGTAATGTTTCTCTGATTTCTTTCTCAGCCCATTTATCATTTGTATATAGAAGGGCTACTAATTTTTTTGAGTTAATCTTGTATCCTGCCACATTACTGAAGGAGTTGATGTGTTGTAGGAGTTTCCTAGTTGTGGGAGCCCATTTTCAGGTTCCTTGTGCTTTTACCCAGCAGGTCCTCATAGAGAGAATAATTAGGACCACGGGCCTGAGTGCAGGTGTCTGAGATGATCTGCACTTGGCTGTGCTGGGGGGAGATCTTTTGCTCCACCCCTTGCTGTTTCTATAAATACCCTGGGGCAGAGACAGTCAGGACCCATTGGAATAGGTTCCAGGCCCTCTCGAGGCTATCTTGTATTTTCTATTTGTTTATCTCCACAACCTAAATCCTTCTACTATTTCCTGCTGCTCGCACTCAAGAAAACTCTGGGGAACTGTGGGTTTGGTGGGTAAACGCCCCACAGAATGGTGCCATGAACAGGGACTAAAAAAGGGGGGGAAGGAACTAAAGACAAAGGAAAATAAGTTTTATTACAGAGTTTCTGGTTAAAGTGCAAGTCAGGCCCTGCCAGTGGAAAAAGGGACATGTCCAGTGTTTAATGGAATATACATATATATGGTCAGGGGGATTTATCCTCGAGAGAAAAGAAAGAAATGGACTGGAAGGATGTCCAATGCTGCAGCTCAAAAATCTCCTCTATAAAGGTTTCTATCTTGGCCAGGCGGCGGTGGTGCATGCCTTTAATCCCAGCACTCGGGAGGCAGAGGCAGGTGGATCTTTGTGAGTTCGAGGCCAGCCTGGTCTACAGAGCGAGATGCAGGAAAGGCACAAAGGTACACCTAGAAACCCTGTCTCGAAAAACCAAAAAAAAAAAAATTCTATCTTCTAGGCAGGGTGCCAGGGAGGCTCTCAGGAATCCACAAGGATGACCCCCACCTGGGAGTATTGGCAGTGTTCTAGAGGGTGCCTGGATTGGTCTGTAACTAGAGTTTTCCTGCCTTGCCCACAGTCAGGACAAATTTTTGTCACCCGCCAGTCCCACAGCCACTCAGACCCAACCAAGTAAACACAGACACTTATATTGCTTACAAACTGTATGGCCATGGGAGGCTTCTTGCTAAGTGTTCTTATAGCTTAAATTAATCCATTTCTACAAATCTATACCTTGCCATGTGGCTCGTGGCATACCGGCATCTTCACATGCTGTTTCTCATCATAGCAGCTGGGAGTGTCTCTCTGACTCAGCCTTCCACTTCCCAGCTTTATTCTCCTCCTTGTCCCGCCTATACTTCCTGCCTAGCCAATGGCCAATCAGTGATTTATTGACCAATCAGAACAACACATTTGCCATACAGAACATCCCACAGCACTTCCAATTTTTTTTTTTCAAGAAGGAAGGTTTTAACCTTAACAAAGTAAAATTACATATAATTTGGGAATTTGGGCATAGCTTCTCTTACTACTTCCTGCTGGAGGAGGGTGCTGTATCTCATGGGGACACAAAGAAAATTTTAGGATTATGGAGTAGTCCATGAGTGTGTATCGTCTGAGCCAGTTGCCTTGAAATGGTTCTGTATGTTGGATCATCTGGGCCATGGTGTCATTGGAGACCTTTCAGGGGGTCTTGGCTGGTTAAACCTGATGTATCTTAATCTGGAACAAATCCATAGCATCTGGCTTTCTGTGGGAACAAAAGCAGAGATTCCTTTCCAAGGCAACACATCCTTAGATCCAAATTTTGAAGTCAAGGTATCTTTAAAATATACTTTTTGGCATAACTCAATAGCTTTTACAATAAAATATTTTTCTGCAGTTAAAAATCCCAAAGACAACACAATCCAGATTCTCTGTGAAATATTCATCTTTATGTGTCTTATTTTTTATATTAATTTTACTGTCTTTTTAAAGACTTCATTTTTTAAAACTATGTATTTGTTTATATAACCGTATATATCACCTTTTTTGTCTCTTTTAAGCCTACGTATCTTTTACACACATTGTAAACTATTACATCTGAATCTGTCTTATTGTGAATCTACTGCTTTAAACTGCAGCAGCTGTGGCTGCTGGATCCACCCACCTCAGTTACCCAACATGGTGGTAGTAGTTTACCACCAGCTCTGGGAACTATCGTGGGTCTATGCTTTTATCCAAGCAGCGTGTAGCGCAGAAACCTCTTTTTCTGTTTTGTACTAGCAAAGTCTAAATCCACCATGCAGCTTAATGTGCCACTTGCAGAGGCCTCCTTCCCGCCATACTGCAGGTCAAGTGCACACTCCAGAAACCCACAAGTAGCTCAAACCAGCAGCTGCCACTCATTTGAGAGAGACAATTAGGAACTGTTTTTAGCTCCGTTTTAGAATCTTTATTCTCAGTTTTTAGGTGGAAACTCTTGCCACCACTTTGGATGTCATTTGTAGCTAGAGTTTTCCTGCCTTGCCCACAGTCAGGACAAATTTTTGTCACCCGCCAGTCCCACAGCCACTCAGACCCAACCAAGTAAACACAGACACTTATATTGCTTACAAACTATATGGCCATGGCAGGCTTCTTGCTAAGTGTTCTTATAGCTTAAATTAATCCATTTCTACAAATCTATACCTTGCCACGTGGCTCGTGGTTTACCGGCATCTTCACAAGCTGTTTCTCATCATGGCGGCTGGGAGTGTCTCTCTGACTCAGCCTTCCACATCCCAGCTTTATTCTCCTCCTTGTCCAGCCTATACTTCCTGCCTAGTCAATGGCCAATCAGTCATTTATTGATGAATCAGAACAACACATTTGCCATACAGAACATCCCACAGCACTGGTCTACTCTGGTGACAGGTCTAGTGAATAACCTAACTGTCATCATAGAGACTTTGTCCAGTGACTTAGGGAGGCAGATGCAGAGATCCACAGCCAGGCACCAGGCTGAGCTCTGGGAATGCAATCGATGAGAGAGAGGAGGGATTCTGCAGGCTAGGGATGTGGAGATCATGATGGGAAGACATGCAGAGGTGACCAGCCACACTGGTGGAAGCCCATGAACTGGAGACTAGTGGCTGTGGAGCCCCCATGGGACTGGACTAGGCCCTCTGGATACAGAAGATGGTTGTTTGGCTCGAATTGTTTGGGGGGCACCCAGGCAGGGGGATGGATTCATCCCTGGTGCATGGGCAGGCTTTTGAGAGCCCGGTGCCTGTGGTGTGATGCCTTGCTCAGCCTTGGTGCAGTGGGAAGGGGATTGGACCTGCCTAGGCTCAGTGTGCCAGGCTCTGCTAACTTCCCATGGGAGACCTTGATTTGGGGGATGTAGGGATGTTGGGTGGCTTGGGAGGGCTGGGGGGGTGGGAAGAGGGAGGAGAAGGGATCTGTTGGTGGTATGTACAGCAGAAAATTTCTTAATAAAGAAAAATGAGAAAAAAGATAATATAAGCAATATATAGTAATAAATTGTAAACTGATTGATGCAAAAAAATTTCTATCTTCTAGCTCTTTCTCAATTTCTATCTGTGAAAAATAAGTATAAGGTATAGAGTAGTAATATAGTGTGGGAAAAACTTAGAAGTGTAATACTATGTTAAAAAATTATTTCAGATAAGTAAGGCAACTAGACAGAAAAACTCTTCAATTTTCTAACTTTGGGGCTATGAATGCAAACTGGGAAAAAAATCTTTCTTTGAGCTTTATGGGTAGAAAATAAAAACAAAAACAAAAACTCTTCTTTGAGCTTATTGCACAGAAAAAAGTTTCCTATGGAAGCTTTTGGCCTGGGGACAGTTAAAATGCTAAGTCCAAGTGACAGGAAAAAGTGATTTCTCCCTGAGGCAAAAACGCGGGTGTAAGAAGCCAAAAAAAAAAATTAAAACTCAGAAGTTTGGGGAAAATTGGTCTTTCTCTCTCAGGGGAAAAAAATCTTTCAAACTAAAGCTTTTCTTGGAAAATCTCTCTAAAAAGCCTTAATCTTTATCAAACTAAAAAACTCTCTTAAACTTAAAAACTAAAGCCTTTAACTTTCTCAGAAAGACAAAAATTAGAATCACCTGAAGATATTAGTACGGGGAATCACCTGTGATTAGCTCTAAGGGAAAACAACAAACCTGTTAAGACAGCAAAACCTCTCTAAGTCCTGTCTTTCAAGCCAGAAAAATCCTCCCTGCAATGAGGGAGGCAGGGCTTGATTTCCTAAAAACCTCTTCTAAGCTCTGTCTCTTCAAGCTAGTAAAAGGCAGCAGATCAGAATACCCTGAGGAA